GAATTCACATACTAAACTTGTTTTGGGGCTAATTCAAACCCTCCAAAGTATAAAATGATAACAAAAAGGTGCTAAGAAATGATAGTAAATGTCAATATCAGACAGATGTCCTCATCCAGAATGTTTTTGTTTTGCCACCCTGAAATTACATAATTTGGAAATTCCACCATTATTAATTTGGCATTATTCCTTTTATCCAGCTATTTATTTTTGTATTCTCCTTAGGCCATGTTGTTTTGATTATATGGATGACATCCTCCGGGAACCCCATAACTGATGCGCGCGTGCGAATAAAAAAAAAGTTTTGCAAAAAAAAAGTTCTTTTCATTATGAAATCTACGTGGTCATGAGGGTTGAGCAAATGGCACAGAATATGGTTTGGCGAATAATCTAGTCTTCAAGTTCATTTCTTTACAATTTCGTCTTTTTTCGTTTGATTTCGGCATTCTACGACATTGGTATAGTTTTTATTAATTTTTTTGTAACTTATGGTATATTTTTGCTCATTTTGCAACTGTTTTGAACGATTTACAGTATGGTTGAAAACTTTTTTTGTTTGGAAACGGCCGAAAATTCATGCGCGCGCGGATGTCATCCATATAATCAAATCAACATGGCCTTATTTCAAATACCACATAGCAGACAAAAGTCTGAATTACGTTAGTATCTACACACCAGCATTGAGCTCATTTATAATACACAAAATATGGGTATTTACAGTTTAAAAATATCCTCATCAGTAAATTCTTAATTTCTATATACAACAAATTGACATCTCTTAATGATTAAAAGATTAATTACCTACTAAAAACTCGTAGTTTAACATAGATTGATAACAAGATAAGGGTAAACATCAGATATGAAGATTCAAAATTCAGAAAGTTTGTCTACTAGTGTAAGGCCATGTTGATTTGATTATATGGATGACATCCGCGCGCGCATGAATTTTCGGCCGTTTCCAAAAAAAAAGTTTTCAACCATACTGTAAATCGTACAAAACAGTTGCAAAATGAGCAAAAATATACCATAAGTTACAAAAAAAATTAATAAAAACTATACCAATGTCGTAGAATGCCAAAATCAAACGAAAAAAGACGAAATTGTAAAGAAATGAACTTGAAGACTAGATTATTCGCTAAACCATATTCTGTCCCATTTGCTCAACCCTCATGACCACGTAGATTTCATAATGAAAAGAACCTTTTTTTTTTGCAAAACTTTTTTTTTATTCGCACGCGCGCATCAGTTTTGGGGCTCCCGCAGGATGTCATCCATATAATCAAATCAACATGGCCTTAGTGTTCGAGAGGCCAAATTCGTGAATGTGTGACAAGATTTTTGGCGGTTGGCCCACAAATGAAATTTTTTTTAGAAATTTTTAGAAACTTTATTTCAAATACCACATAGCAGACAAAAGTCTGAATTGCGTTAGTATTTACACACCATTGAGCTCGTTTAATACACAAACAAGTAAAATCTGAGATTTATACCTCCGGGCTTTTTATTGTATATTTTTATATGTTGTTTACAACAACAATTGTTGCGCGCCGCAGGACTAGGGTTTTAAACAAAGAATTTATCGAGACCGGACACCCCTCTGTGTTAGGGGTCACCTTCGTGGACGAGACCGACAATACCTAATACACGCCAAAGGTCAACGGTCGCGACCACTTTCGCGCTCAAAGGGGTGTTATGGGGCCACCAAAAGGCACCATTTTCACGCCCGAAAACACGTATACAATAAAAACAAAATAACGTGCGTCATCTACAGCCCAATAGCAAAACATATACCGAGTCTCACAAGAATCAGTCCACCCAAACGCGAGAAACAGCTGAGAACATGAAAATCTAAATCTCTCACAAAACCCTTCCGCGGAAGGATGTCTCCTCCCCCGGAGGTAAATATGGGTATCAGTAAATTCTTAATTTCTATATACAACAAATTGACATCTCTTAATGATTAAAAGATTAATTACCTACTAAAAACTCGTAGTTTAATATAGATTGATAACAAGATAAGGGTTTAAAATCAGATAAGAAGATTCAAAATTCAGAAAGTTTGTCTACTGGTTTAAATCAAGTCAAAGATTGCAACTAGTGCAGGATTTATTGGTCGAAAACTTCCTCCATAGTAAAGCTAAGTTCATATCATCCGTGTGCAAAGTAGCATGAAGGACACTGATTACATGGAGTCAATAAACTCGCGCGTAAAAAATCAAATTGTAACGGATGCGTTTTCTATAAGACCTCATAATTTGCCACTTTACGGGGCAATATTGTCTCATAGGTGTCGTCAACAGCTATGCCGAGACCTCTAGAAATCTTTATTATGTAATAAGTTTTTAATAATTCAATTCAGCACGCCGGGATAGCGTATGAAAAATTATATTCATATCTGCTGGTATGTAGGATCAAATGAATCTAGTTAATGTTCGTTGTAGGATTTGTTTTCGATTAGGCCACACCAAGTAGATTTTATGGATGACGTCCGCGCGCGCATTGATTTTGGCCTGTTCCTAGAAAAAAAAAAACAAGAAATTCCGCTTCTTGTTGTTATGACCAAAGAGTCACGACAGTGTCGCAAATCGTCAGATTGACGTGGAACCCGTAACGCGAAAACAGGGCAGGACGACAACTGCTGTTCCACCTGATTTATTGCTGTTTTGATGATGAATAAAATACTTCTTGCTGGTTACACTGTGTCACCTCATTCAATTTGTGTCCTAACATGTGTCGTCTCTTTGTATATTTCTAATCTAGGCATCTTGTTTTTTAGGGCCCTTCTTGTTTTTTTTCGCCCTCTCGCATTAGATTTAGGGTCTCCAAAGGACGTCATCCATAAAATTTACTTGGTGTGGCCTTAAGTGTACTTTTTATGTTCTTTTCAGCATCTCTAATAAACACAGAGTTCGTTTATGTTCACAGGCAGCTGATTAAGTTCTTTCAACCAAGATATTAAGCTTCGGGACTAATATATTGATTTTAATATAACATAAACAGTAGTGACTAGTACTTGTGATGAAAGAAATGCCAT